CCATCATATGAGCTGTTAATTATTTTCTCAGGAATATTAAAATAATAATTCACTTATTTAGTAATCTAGAACTGATAAAAAAAATGCGATATTTTTATTTTTATGCTCTTATGTAGGACAGCAATGAAATTCACTTTAGAGTGAAAATGACTACTCAGATGGGTAAACTTAAAAAGTCATACAGTGAAAGAGTGGTAAGTTTATTTGCTTTGTCTCAAACATTATCATAAGATTGTGATTTGCTTAAGCCTGAGCATCTATAATAAAAATTAAGTTATTTAGTGAAATTATACTGTGAACAGCAATTAACAGGATGTGTTTGTAATTTACAAAATTGATGGAATTGCCATAAAATGTTAACATGTATGGAAAAATTAAATTTAAAGTACAAATCAAAAACCATAAAGCTATTTTATTAACACATTGTCCTACAATTTAGTTTAATGCCTTATTGTGGGACAAAATTTCGTGGATATAATAGTAGGTGGATCTACTAGAAAAATATATTGCACAGAATAGAAATATTTTGAAATTTTTATGTTATTGTGCTGATATGAAATATCATTATATTTTACTCCTTTATAACTGGTATAATATACATCATTAGTTAAATATATTCAGTTAATTTTTCAAAATTTTTGTGCAGGTGTTCTGCAGGCTGTTATGACATCCTTTTAAACCAGATGTTAGAAGATCTTAGACTTGTACTAATATTATTGTTTAAACAAGAGTTTCACACTACAGTGTTTGTTCCATAAGCTTGTACTTGCTTGAAACTGTTCCTGTCTCATGACCTTTGGGATCAGGTCATACTCATTCTAAGGTGTGGTACAGAGTTTTGTACACATTAGTATGAGTTGGGTTTTTTATCTCCTTTGAATGTGTGTATCACTAATTTAGTTAATACTTTCACTGTAATTGGAATGATCCTTAATTTAGGTAATCCTTTGAATGTGTATTTGGAATTATCATTAATTTAGGTAATTAAGGATTGTGGAATATCAAATTAGTACTGATTTTACTTAATTTTTGGGTTTGGGTAGGTCAAAGTGCACATTTCATGACTTTTTTTTAGAGTTTATAACTAATAGAAAGAGAATTTTGTTCCCTTCAAGAATGTGCTAAAAGCTATTTCTTTTTTTGGTATGCAATTATAGACAGTTCATCTCAGACTGTTTACATGTGATCATTATTGTTGAGCTTTGAGCAGCTAATGGCAAGTTTTTAATAAATTTGTGGCTTAGTTAGGAAGTCAGATACATCATAGTAGTTTAAAATATTATATTTTTTGCACAGGATAAACTTTAGTGTTCTATGTTACATATTTAAAATGAAGGTTAAAAATATTTTGAACCATCAACATCATTACAAAAAGTACTTTGGCCTTCAACAACAAAAATTCTGAGTCCAGGTGTGTAAGTACTAAATTTCTTTTTTTTGTTATAACAGTAACTAAAATATAATGATTATAAACTTATTAGGTTAGATAAAAAAAGAAAATCTTAAACGGAAAAATTAAAGTAAAAGATGTATTGTGAGATTCAATATCTTAGCATGCACACATCATGTTATGTGATTGTAATTCAATTGTGGTTTGCTTGTAACTCAATTGTTTGTTTGCATAAAGCTGTCCAGCTATAATAAATGATTTTCATCATATTCTGAGAGGGTTTAAATATGGCTGTAAAGCAATAAAACTAAATGAATCCAGATTTGAAAAATTATTAGGTTTGGCTGTGAAAATAAATTGTGTGTAATTGTCTGTTACAATATGTAGTCATTACAAGCACAAGTACATGTCTTCAGTGACAGGAAAAGTTTAGCTTAATCTAACTAAAACAGAGTATCTGTCCCAAGTGATGTGAAAAGTTTAAGTTAATCTATCAATTTAAATTATTTCATGGACTTCAAAAAGGTTAATTGTGTTGCATTATTGGTTTCACTCAGAGCCAAAGCTCCGAGCTACTTATACCAACCACTGCAAAATGTAGTTGTTGAGCATTTCAGTCATGCTAAGATCTGCTTAACAATAACATAGAGTAAATCTACATTTTTATTCTCTTAAGTTATGTCACATTTTGAAATATGAATGATAGTATGATTAATTCCTAATAACTTAGTAGAATATCCTACTTGCAAAATAAAATTTGGCATCCATATTATTCATGCATGTTCTCCTGTCATTTCAAAAGTGAATGTTAAGCTTTGCCTGCTTGCACAGCTTTTCAAACGGGAGACAGATGAATGCTCAGACAGACACCATGGTTTGCAATATATATAAAATTTTGCTAGTGTTAAGGAAAAAAAAAAGATATAAAATATAAAGTTTTACTGAAAAAGAACTTATTTCATTTAGGAGGCTCCAGAAACTATGCAAAGGAAAGATGAAAACAAGTATTTTTATTGTTAACATGCAAACTACCTTTCACTCAGACTGATTCAGTAAAGGCTTCGTAAGTTCAAAGAAAATAACTTATTAAATAATCTGATTTTTTGTGTAAAGACTTGTAACCATAACAACTTTTACAAAGATAAATTTAGTACATTGAGTTATAGTATGTATAGTTTCATAGTTATGTAGCAGTTACAAGGTTAGTCAAAATGACCAAATTTGTATTCAGGGTTAATAGTTTGGTATTTCATTATTTTTTCTTGGTTTTTAACCTTGTGTGGATGCATTTTTGCTTTATCCTCTACTACTCCAGCAGTCATATGAAGTCTTAAAACTACAAGCCAACCAGTAAACCATGACTTACAAGTGCTTTATATATGTTGACTTATTTGTATATTTCTGCTCATGTATATTTTCCTTGCTGTTCTTTCAACTCTGTCACTGCATAAGGAGATTTTATGAAAACTCATTCCCAAGCATATCTGTTTTTGAATGAGATGAGGTACTTATTAACAAAGTTATTGATGGAGCTGTTGAGTGAATCCATACAGAACCACATTTGGCTTAGGGGCATTGCATCTTTTGACAGAAACAATTCCTGTTGTTCGAAGCAGTAACTTCAGACTGTGTGCTGGAGTAGAAAAAGAAATCAGCAACACTGGCAACTGCAGGTTCCTTGGGTTAACCTGTACATGCAAGAAATGTAGTCAGAAAGCCTAGATGGGCTCATGGGGTGTTTGTGGAAAGAGCATTGGAGACAAAAAGGCAACTTTAAGATACACCCATATTTATGGTGATTATAATTACTTCAGAAAATAGCTGAGGATTTGGTATGTGGTCACATGTTTTTAGAGTTTTATGATTATGGTTAGACAGAAATACAAAATATCAACAGCATTACAGGAAAATAAAATATAAGGTGTCTTAAGTTTTAAGTGTAGTGCATATGTTTGTTTATGTTTAAGAATACATGTATATCTCAATAGAAAATCTTTAAGCAGTTAATTCCATTTCCAGGGAGTTCCTGTTGGTTCTTTAAGGTTTCTTTTTGATGGCAGAAGAATAAATGATGATGAAACACCAAAACAGGTATAACAAATGATAAAGTTGGTCATTTTTACATAACTAAAGTCTTTAATGTAAGGCATCTATGTCTTCAAGCACAGGTGCTCAAATTCACACTTATATCTTGTAGATAGTACTAATGCATGGCTTGTAAGTCTTCTAACATGTTCACTCTCTCTCTCTCTTAGTGGGACATGGGATAACTAAACATGTATTCCTGTAATATTCACACACTTGAGAGTGCAACTGACATTTTCAAAAGGGTTCCATGTTTAATGTGTTACATAAACCTATTCCTTCTGTTATATTCCAGAATGTAGTAACTTGTAAGAATTTTTGGTTGTATTGAAATAAAATCAGCCACAGAGACTTTGTCAGCAGAATTTGTTGCCTATCCACTTTAATCAATCTTCCGAACATTCAGTTCTTACAAAACAAAAGAAACATATATCAATATATAACAAATAGTGTTTTGAATGGATATTGAATGCTGAATATCTAGCCAAGTCCTTTAGCCAAACAATAGAATACTTGTGCCTTTGAATAAGTGATGTATTTGTTTAAAATGTTTCATTAATTTACAGAGACAGTGGAAACAATAGTACATACAAATAAATACAAAATTTTAAAAAAAGGTTACATACAACCTAAATAGGATGCGATAACAATACGTTAACAAAAGATACTATAATAATTCCAGGTTAATACTCGTATTGTAGTTGTCTCTATCTAATTTGTACAATTACCAATAATATTTTTCAACAGAAACCAAAAAGATACTAAAGAAACAAAAGATAGTATAATAATTCTAGGTTAATACTTATATTGTATTTGTCTCTATCTAATTTGTACAATTGCCAATAATATTTTTCAACAGAAACCAAAAAGATACTAAAGAAACAAAAGATAGTATAATAATTCTAGTTTAATACTCATATTGTATTTGTCTATCTAATTTGTACAATTGCCAATAATATTTTTCAACAGAAACCAAAAAGATACTAAAGAAACAAAAGATAGTATAATAATTCTAGGTTAATACTCATATTGTATTTGTCTATCTAATTTGTACAATTGCCAATAATATTTTTCAATAGAAACCAAAAAGTTTTATGAACAGTCTAATCTTGTGTAGAGAAGGCTCCTTTGAATATGAAACTGTAGTGGTATGCCCTGCATAATATAGAACTTTTTACATGTTTAGCCTTTGTAGGTGTTGTCTTAGCAATATAACAATAAAGAAGACGTGCACAGACTTGTCAGTTGCATACACTGATCTCTGACAAAGTTGGTGATTACTATTGGTGATGTGAAGAGTGATTCAGTGATAACTTCTGTGTTCACTGATTATTAAGAGTGATACAAAATGCAAAAATAATCCTACATGTGATAACTTTGAAGAACTTGGTATGTTAAAAATGTGAAGTACATGTTGTGTGTCATATATGTATTATGTGATGGCAAAGGAAAAACAACTGTTACCCAATGAACAATTACCATGAATAAATAAGCATGCTCAAGACTACAAGAAACTGCAACAAACTTCACAGTCTACTGGATCAAATATTGAATGGGAAAATGTGACCTCAAGTTCAAGGGTGTCTGCCGTTACCAAAAAAAATTATTATTGTGCTAAAGAGCTACAATGTGCAACTGGTGAAGTTATTGCTTTAGTTAACCAACAGTATTCAACTGCTGTTGATGAAGGGTTTGGTCAGTTGATGAAGAAAACACATCAGCTATAAAAACTACCAAGGAAAATTTTTTTCTGAAAACAATTGTCCCAGATATATATATGAAAAAGAAGCAAGAGTGCACTTGCTAGTCATATTTAGAATGTCCGTTCTATTTCTTCAACGTTAGATATTTGGTTGTTTTCATGGGAAAACAACAATAAATCAGTTTCAAAAGACAGTGAATCACATAAAATAACATACTGTTCCTAGAAGTTATACTAGTGATGCAGTAGGAAAAATGTGGGAAGATACAATAAATATATATATGGGAAACTAAAAATAAGAATATTTACCCCCTAATGATAGCTAATGGAGCATATATTCTGAAAGGTACTGATGATGCTGGATTGTCAGATGAATCATGCTTCATCCACACATTACAGCTTGTGGTCATGAATGCTCTGGAATCCCAGCAAGCTATAGTTGAATTCATAACAGTCGGTAGAAAGACTGTTACACATTTTAACCACTCATCTAAAGCACATTGAAAGTTAATGGCTATACAAAATAATTTAAATACGTCACAGAAAAAACTTGTACAAGACGTACAGGAAAGACGGAATTTAATGTACCATCTTCTTGAAAGGCTTTTGAAATAATAGAAAACAATATGCTGATGACACCACAAATAACAGCCTCATTAATAACTGTAAGCTTGTTTAAACTTGTTACAATTGTTTGAAGAAATTACTAAAAATATTAGCTTCACAGACTCAGTTCCATTAACTGTTGCAATCTGTCGAGGGATAACTCAAACAACTTTTGTATGTGAAAGCATCCTTTAGAAGATGACTTGAAACTAGATTTGCTGGAATATAGCACTCCAAATTTTCACCTTAGCTACCGTGTTGGATTGTTGCTTTGAAATGTATTTTCGAAAGAGCAACATAACCAAGAAATGTAACACAGTTTGGTGGAAAAAGCGTTAACACTGCCAAATTTTTGTTCAAGCCATAATTATACATTTTTTCAGTAACTGATAGTTTTTTTAATGTATTTGATGCATTTTTGTGTGTTTGGAAGCATGTTTGTCATTTTATGGTTCATAGAAATAATGATTCTTACATATTCATGAAGATTATAAGAGCAAAAATAGTGTAAAAACAAAAACACTTTCAGATATGTCCGTGTAAACAAAAGCAATGGATGACTGTTGGGATTTGTTTCCTTGGGTATTATTGCTCAGAAATATTTAGGATTTTACAGTATAATTGTAGCCTAGTCTGAATAAAAGAAAATGTTAAGTATTCATTAAACAAATGTGAGAATTATAAATACACAAGAATGTGTATGACTATTGCATATTTCAACATGAATAGATTTAAGGTAAACAAATGTATTTTTTTAGTTATAATGTTTGGATAAAAGTGGTATGGTGAAACACCTTTTTTTTAAAAAAATAGAAATCTTTATAAGGCATGAAATGAGTAAATGTCTGACTGTGTTAATATTCACTCAAAAAATTTTGGTAATAAATATCCTATGGAGAAAACAGTTCTTTGGCTTGTATTTCACAGAAACTTTCCAAAAGTTAAACACTTCTGACAATGTTTGCAAGAACCTTGATATTGTGTCTTCCTGACACATGAATAGAACAATTATGGTATTTCTCATCTGAAATGTACTTTTATCCCATAGATAAAACAGCTTTTATCAATAAGTAGCTTACAAGAACTTATTCTAATCCATATGGACAGATAGTTTTGCTAAAGAAGTTTTATTTAATTAAGAACCATTTTTGTCATTTTATTTTGTCCATTTTGGTTATTTGTGTGAACAGATACCCCAAACATGCAATCTTATGCTTTTTTTAGTTTATTTGTCTTCTGTCCTAATAAATTTAATCTGAAAACTTTAACAAATTGTCTTATGCATTAATACATGTATCTGATGATGTGTGTTAGGCAACAGTGTTCTTACAGATCCTCGTTTCTCATAATTTGTAAAAGGTTTGTGTATTTACATATTATGCCTTTTATTAACATGTAAAATTTAAATGTTTATTTACAGCATCTCCTGGTTGTATTTAACTTGTGGTAAATAATTTACTTTGTAGTTTAATGTTTGGAGTATGATGTTCACATAATTTAAACTGTTGTTTTAGACACAATGACTTTACTGTGATATGTAAATGTCACCAATCTTTTCTTAGAAATATTATGCTTAGTGTGTTCTTAAGTAGTATAACCCTCAATGTGTGTGTTAAAGCTAAATTGTAATAATATGCTTTTCATAGAAACACTTTTTGCATTTGATTGTTTTTCTCAAATAAATAGTTAAAGATACGCAAGAGTTTTCCCAATAAAAGGTGTATATTATTTTGTGCAATTTCGTTTTAAAATTCAGACATGTATATGCAGTACATCATACATAAAACATATCCATTAGTTTTCAGTCTTCTGCCATACAAATAATACCAAACAAGATCCTTTGGTAATATTTTTCCTGAAAAAGCAAAATCAACCAAAAAATTACAAGAAAAGTTATCATTCTATCATCGGGTTATTTAGGTTTATTTTGCTTTTTTTGATAATTGTAATATGTCACAATAGACAGCCTTGGCTTGAAGTTGTGTATGCATAGATTGAATTAGAAGGAGATAAGACCTCAGATTTCAAAGCTTATATACTTCTTTCTGTGTTATTTTGCATGAATATATCGTTTGGTAAAAAAAAAGTGGTTAATCTATTGTAACTATAAGAAACTAACTTTGTCTTTAAATTTTGTTTGTTTAGTAGGTATTGTGATGTTAGGTGAAGCCATTTATAGATCATTTGAAGTGTTACTTTTGCTGGAAATTATGATTTAATTTTCCAAGATCTACACAACATTTTAGGGAAACAAAAGAGATTAGTAGAAAACATTTAAAAAAAATTTTTGGGAACTCATGATTTTTTTCTTCTTTTTAATAGGGTAAATGTATTTTAATGGGACAAATTTAACCTGTATCATATTTAATAACATTTCAAGAGAAAAAAAATACATGAATAGTTAGAACTCTCATTATTAAACAATTTTTTTTTTTGGTTTCAGGGAACATTAATTTTGATGAATAGGTAAAGGAAATGTTTTTCTTAAGTTTATGGCATTTTTTTTATAGTTGGTATGATACAGTTTTATAGTTGATATTCATGAAGAAAGCACATTTATAAAAGTAATCCCATTGTGTTATTCTTGTAGTTAGAGATGGAGAATGATGATGTCATTGAAGTGTATCAGGAACAAACGGGTGGTGTTTAGTAGCTGGTCAAACCTCAAATCATGTGTTCCATTTCATGCTGTAAGCTTTGTTACAAGATTTCTTCACTTTGGCTTTTTAAAGAGAGAGATTTTCCAAAGACCTTTTTCCTTTTGATTTAAAGTAAACTCGTGCTTCAGAAACTATTAACACAATTTTCTTTCGTAACTTTGTGTTATTGAAATTTTATTTTTTGTTGCTCGATTCAGATACCTTAGCTGGTATGTGTACATAAATATTTTCTCTATTTATGAAACATCCAAGTAAACATTAGTTCTGTGTAACATCATTGAAACATTTGTCTTGCTTAGAAATGATCAATCAAGTTTATTGGTATTGCTATGAGATGTCAAACATATATATTAGTAAACTTAAATGACATTTTGTTTTTGTTTCAGTATGTTTTTCAAGTAGAGATTTATTACAGATTCTTTTACATACCCTTTAAACAGTCTGAGTGTAAAAAGCCAAGGAATATAGATAAAACAAATTCAAAGAATGTGATAATTTGTAATACTGTTTTCTGTAATAAAATAACATTTTGATAAACATTTTAGACTGGATTATGTAAAGAGAACATTGAAATCAATTGTGGTTAGATATATTTATAACCAATTTATCTTTAGAAATTGAACTTTCTATATTGCTCTGTCCAAAGTCTTAGCTCAAAGACATTTTTGGCAAAACCTGTTGTAAATTGTGAGTGAAGTCTTTTTTTTTGTGTTTGGATAGATTATGTGGTTTATAAAGATTCTATAATTAATATTGCAAGCCATTCCATTTTTATAACATCAATCTTTAGTTTCATAACATATTGTTTTGTAAAGAGGAGGAGATAAATGAAGAAATATTTACAAGTGTAATTTAATTTTAAATGTGATCGATGCAACATTTGATGCACTTCACAGGTCTTAGGCATTTTATTTTTTTTAAAGAACTAGCATATGCAATTTTTTTTTCTATATTTTGCTATCTTTTAAAGAACTACTCATATAAATTTTTGTAAATAAATTTTTGAAAGATAGTTTCTTAAGTACTTACTTGAGCTAATAAAAAATGGTCATTTTTTCACAGAAAATATTTTTAGATATGTATTAACACACACATCAAATGTTGTAGTTTTTATTATGAAACTGTTTTGTCAGTTGCTTTCTTTTATTTGTAATCAGCATCTGTGGAAATGTTTTGTCTAAAGATATCTATTGTGAATGTATATCATTTCTGTGAACATGACATCATATATAATGTATTCTTTATCAACCTTAGATATATTATATCATTTTACTGAAACTTTCTTTGTATGGTATTGTTTTTTTTTTTACTCTAACAAGGTAAAGAAATTGCTTTTCATCGTAGCATTTTCATATTGATCATGAAAGTTCTCTAAACTTAACAGTAAAGTAAAATTATGACTGAAAAAGCATTCATAGATATAACCTACAAAATACACTATACTTTTTTCCAAATAATTGATAGTAAAAGAATAACAGAAAAATTCATTAAAATAAAAAGTTTAATCTAGAACAAATGTATTTTGTAAAACAAATTAGTAAATGAAAGCTTGAGAGGAAGAGTTAAATACTGGCCACAAATAAACATTTTAACAGAAGGAAAGTTCAGAAAGTTTTTTTAATTTTCAGAGGACTAATCACACTTTATAAAAATTTTACATACACTGATAGAGTAGTGTGTTGTTTGCAGATGCAAACCATAGCACCACTAGTGACATTTTTACCATCTATATATCTTGCTCATGGTGAATTCCTGATAATTTAACAGTGCAGTACTACTATAGCTGGACATATGGGTTGAAAAATATGACACAACCATTTCTGAGGAAAAATATTTGTGTAGTGAGATATTGTTAAATGATGTCATGCTGAAGTACATAATGTTTTAATGAAAGAAGCCATTATTATTATTCTCTATGCAAATCTCATACAGCAGTCTTAAGGACAACATAAAGCTCTGAAACAACCATATTCCATGCCAATCTGGAAAAATGCTTTCATTTATATAGTGAATTTATTAATTAGAAAAAGAAAAAAGAACCCTTTGACCCAAAGACCATTGTAATAAAATTGAACATTGTTCTGGTATCAGTAACAAAATAATTCCATTCAACCTCATACTTGTAGTCTCCCAGTGTAATTCCAAAGAACTTTCGTTGTTTAGTTTGTTTAATTTGATCTTTTATGACATCTACTCACAGTAGGGATCCATAGAAAAGTTATCCAGATATATGGTCTAAGATTGATCTCGTCAAACTTCCCAGAAACTTGTTACAATGGAAATTGCAGTGTTGAGTGATAATGCATAGTCATAATTATCAGATTCAGCATGATCAATGATGAAGGAAGTTGTTTCAAGAACAGCATAGGACCTAAAACATTTCAACGTGTAACTAGTAAAATTAGATTTATAAAAACTGAACATTGATGTTTTTTTACTAGAAATAAGTTTGATTAGAAATCAAATATAGTATTATAGCAGAACATTTGGTAGTAGCAATGATGTCATATGTTATCTTGACTGTAGTATTCAAAGGTTTGATACAAAACATGGACTGTTCAGTCACCTCATGGCCAACTATTTTTTAACACCATCTGTTTGAGTAACAGTTCTACTTTTGTTACAGAACACTTAACTCAGACACTTGAAAATTACAAAGATAGAAATAATTAAATAAAATTACATTCACTTGAGGGAAAGCTATAGGAAAGATTACATTCCCTCATGTAGAGTTGCATTTCCTCATGAACTGCTTTTTTAAATTAATCCATGCAATATGTTCACTTTTATTGGTCATAACTAAAGGACCATACATTCCCGATTGGAAAAGCCAACTAAAAAGATGAAATTCCTCAAGCAAAGTTAGATTCCTTGGGAATGTAATATTTCGATCCCTGAATTAACTGGTTGACCAACACCATCTAGAGACGTGGCCTTTCTACTACAGTAAGACATCATCATAAATAATCCATACACTGCATCTAATAAAGCCTATTGTATTTTATTTATTGCTACTACTGGTAGTGGCTTTTTTATTGTTGTTATGTGAGAAAACTTCACAAATACAAAATCAATTAACTGTGTTGTAAATTCTCAGTTCTTGTAGAATGAAGGTTAAATCAGTGTATTTAATATTTTAAAGTTTCTCCGTTTTGAACTTTGCACAATTGTATTTACATCAGTATATTATATCAACTAAGTTGTTTAATTTGAGGTTGACCCATGTGGATAGGTTGCCTTGATCATACGTTATTGATTATATCAAAAGAAAAACTAGAATTTCTGTCATCATCTGTGTAATTAAGAAAACAGTGCGTGTTATAAGCACACAGACTTACCACTAGAAGGCAAAATTTGTTGTTTTTGTATTATAGCGCAAAGCTCACAATGACCTATCTGCGCCTTTTCCACTGCAAGAAATCGAACCTCGGATTTAAGAGTCGTTAGTCCGTACTTACCGCCATCCCAACGGGGATTAGAAAGGTTACTTTGTTACTGAAACGAGACGCTATGTATGCCTTGCCGCCTCTGGTATCGAAACCCCATTTTCAGCGTTATAAACCCTTAGACTGTCCCATCGATAGACTTCCGTTGGGAAAATAAACCCTTTTGTTGTGTTGCGCCGAAGAGCCTGTGACATGACATCTGTTTTTAAGCATTCATTGTGCTGTAAAACCTATGACATATACTAACCTTCTTTCTATATATCCCCTCACAGATGTATTTGCCTTGCCTATGCATATAATGCATCCCAAAGAAATCTCATAATCTGGGACTGTCATCTTCAGATTTCGAGATTCTTTTGGCTTTAGCTGAAATCGATTTGAGTGCTGATTTTCAATTTGACTGTTTTGTTTTTAATAAAGATTAATTTCGTTGTTTTTGTAACAGTGTGTCCATTCTGTTTCTTTAATACATCTGAGTCAAAAAAAACTAAGAGAAAACAAACTTACTACAAATTATTTGTAGTTTCTTTAGAGCAAGAATTTAAAGAAAGGTCATGACGTGTGTGCACTGTTTGAAAAAAAAACAACAAAAAAAACATTTGTTTGTTCATTTGAAGTTTCTTTAAAGAAAGCATAGCCACTGTTTGACTTGTAACTATATTTGTATAGACATTGTTTGCTTGTTAATTTTCTTTGTATAGTTATACATTAATTGATAATTATTTCTGTATAGTTATTGATGTAATTGGTAAATATCCTTGTATATATAAGCTATTGTTCCATGGAGTTGTAAAGCTATTGTATGATTGCACACCATCTTTGTATGTATGTCTGTTGATTGATCGAAGAATACTTTTTTGTTTAATTCTTTACTGTTTCTATTGAATTTTTTTTTCAATAACTGATTATTACATGTTGGTCCAGTTAAAGTTTTATTCTTTTTATTGACATTTAATAATACCTTTTACACTTAAATAGCACATTGTACGTTTTTTTTTTTCTACTCAGTATCTAGAAATAACAACACACAGAGCATACACATCCATAAACTTCTTTTAATTGAATTCACCACTACAAATGAAAAAATTCATCTAAATACAATGGAAAAGCTGCACAGGAAAGTATGTCCTTAAAACTAAACTGAATTTTATTTTAGACAAAAACAGAATTAAGTTCACATTATATTCTTAAAGACATAGAATCAATATATTTCTTTGAAGTAAATATTTGCTGTAAAAGTTAGCAGATTTATTACTTAGAATTAATACATGACGTTTACCAAATTCACTTTTAAGGTTCCTTTACATTCCTAGTGTTTATCAGGACTGTCTAGACTAGACACCAACCCCCATATTGGTTAGTTTACTTTTCTTTTTGCCAATATATTATAGCACTGGGTTCATATATATAGATTTGAAACGCAAGAATATGTTATTATTCCACTTTGCTGCTATTTTATTAAAGATGAAACTTTTTTCGTATTTTGTAAAGTTCTTTAGTGAGTCAGCAGTAAGTTTCTGGACTAACAATTCTAAAATCTAGGGTTCGATTCCCCGCTGTAGACGGAACGCAGATAACCCATGATTCTCAAGGGAACTTAACAATCTAAAAAAACGTATTAAATGTCTATTGTTTAAAGATAATTTATTATCTCATCAAAAAGATGTAATACAAAATTTAATTTTTTTTACACAGTTCAAAACTCTACGTTTTTGTAACTTACATTAACGCTTATAGAGGGCAGCACTACAAGTACAAAATATCGCAAATGTGCTTTAAATGTTTTAGACTATATGCAGGTGAAATCAGTAACCTTGATTGTTGAAAATTAAAATTTACTAATGAATATCTTATTTTTGTCTTATCATTTAGAGTTAATAAGTGTGACATGACTAACATCTGTATACTTCAACGCTATATATATTTGACCTGTCGTGTATTCTTTGCATTCTAATTGTTATTGAATATTTTAGCAGTAGTTTTAGCAGTTAATATACACCATTCATGGCTTTTGAATCTATACGATATTTTTACATTTTGATAACCATGTATATATATATATTTGTGTGTGTGTATAAAATACCTAAGTACATATATTTCGTAATTCATGAAATTTCTAAGGCATTATATTTTAATATACTACAGATAGAACTATAATAGCATAAAAATTGAGAAACAGTATAATTTCTTAAAAGAAAACGCTGTCGTACAATGGTCATAAAAAACATCAACAAAACAGTATGATATTTTTTTTTATGCTCATAATAAATTAGACAATTTCATTAAGTTAACTAACTAGGTAAAGAAGAAAGGCTCTCCTGGAACTTCATACTGTTATGGTAGCGGACATGTTTTAAATATAATGGGTTACTAAAAGTGTAGATTTATTAAGGATGACTCTTAAGCTCCTTTCTCTTTCGTAGTGCCCTCTAGTGCTTGATGAAGTACCCTGGCAATCAATCCACCAATAAGAGCTCCGATCCAATAAACGATAAAATGCTCTATAATCGTGTTACCATGGCAACCAAGTGTCAAAGCAGATGCTAAGATAGGATTGAAGAATCCTCCCGTTGTGTTTAGTGCTGGAATAATAATAATAATAAGTATATATATATATATATATATATAAATTGCCATTTTTTCTTTTAGTATTTTTACTTTAAACTGCTTTTCACTACATATAAATAAGTATAAGGATAAATATTAATGTAAAAATATATTTAGATTTTTCCAACCTGCTAACACTAGAACTACAGTGGTGATGGAATTAGCAATTGCTGCAGTTCTTGCATCCCACTTTCCAGACTGAAGCGCCACCAGTCGACTAATGAAAGTAATAAAGCCTTCAATCAGAGCTCCCCATAATATCGTTACCTGAAATAATATAAAAAGATACACATATAAACATATTAAAAATTGTACTAAATATAGACTGAAGATACCTATCTGTAGTTTAACAGTGCAAGCTGGAAATTTGACTAAGGTGTGTAATACCCATTCAATCTAGTTTTTAGAAGTTTGTTTTAGCATATTGCAAATATGACTTCTAAAATACCAGGACCTTTCATATTTTTTTGTTTTTATAATCTTTAAAATGTGTATGAATGCGAAAAGAAGTTTTATTATCATATGTTCAGTATGAATTAATTTATTACGTTAAAAAAAGAATTACGCCTACGACATATTTAATTATGTCATTCTCACAGTGCCAACATTTCGAAAAATAAGAAAAAGTATTAATTTTTTATGCCATCTTGTATAATCATTAATTACTACAGTGTTATTCTAATTAATTTCGAATACAAAACTTTATAAAAGAAGTACTATAGTGACTATCAAATAATTTGAAGAACAAAATTTAATTTGACATTTGGAAATGATCATGTTTAACCAAAGTACATTTTTAGGGGGATCTTTGAAGAGCTTTTCGGATTAAAAAGTTTGAAATTAAGTTAATTCTAGTCATAGTTTTCTTGCTATTTCGTGCCTTTCACTTAATCATATACAGTTCTAGAAGACTAGTCGTATTAAATGCATCAAAGCAAATATCGACTTGAAATTATATTTAAAAAAATACAGTACTGGAATTTACCTGGAGTCCAGCTTCACATTGTTGAGCTGTGTGAAGTGCTCGGTGTTCGGTTACTAAGTGAAAAGACCAGATCGATTTTATGTACCTGGTAAAGAAAATAAGAAATTGAAGTCAATATTGCTTGACTGTAAATATATATAAAGTGTATTTTAAAGTTCCTGCAAACAGTTGGTATATATAGCGAACACACCAATTATAGAAGTACGTTCCATTCATACGTTGGCCCGGCATCGCCAGGTGGTTAAAGCGCTTGACTCCCAATTTGTGGGTCGCGGGTTCAAATCCCCGTCCCATCAAATATGCTCGCCCTTTCAGCCGCGGGGGCGTTATAATGTGACAGTTAATCCCACTATTCGTTGTTAAAAGAGTAGCCCAAGAGTTAGCTGCCTTCCCTCTAGTCTTTCATTGTTAAATTAGGGACGGCTAGCGCAGATAACCCTCGTGTAGCTTTGCGCGAAATTCAAACCGTTTCAAAACGGTTTTCATTTGATAATTCACCAAAATTTTAAATACAAAATTAGTTTTGGAACTAATTTCAGAAATGAAATAATGTCTATATGAGTATTAAAAAAAAACAAAAAAACTTCACTCCAAGCCTCTTACAGATTAGAAGCTCATTATTATCAGATATCTATGATCTTCCCGCGTATTCAACAAGTTAATAATTCATTAATTCTATTATACTTAAACTTACAAGACTCTCAACTCTATACGAAAACTTTTTACGGTTAATAAAACACAAGGCGACTACATGCTTATGAATTTGCTTCATGGTAAACAAAATTATTATTTTTATTTATATATATATATATATATATATTTGCTTATAAAGCAAGATCGATTATTAATCATTGAATTTAAAAGCTATTTCTTTATGTTACGTTAGTTATCCATAGGTAAAAATCTTAAATACTTTCTTGTGTTTTTATATTTATAGGTCATATTTTGTGTGCGAGTATGTAATTTGGATTTTTCGTACGAAAAAAAAATTATTCATCTTTCGCATTTTCCTAAGTTCACATTTTTGGATTAATTGCTCTGTTCTTTCGCGGGTATAATTAGGAAATCAGATTAATGACCAACTTAGTTAGAAAATCAAAGAAACTTCTCTCAAAATGATTTGTTATTATAATTATTAATATGTGGTTAGAATAAAAGCAATTACCATGTTGTGATAATTCCTCCGATCACTTGACCAAGCAGTTTCTTTGATATGTCACCAGATGGCGATGGTATTCTAAGTACGTAATCTTCAATAGGACCACAGGGACAAGCTTCAGTGTCTTCGAAAACTTGACACCACCAAAAACATACTAAGCCTAGAGCTAGTCCCAGTGCGATAGAACCGTGGCGCTCGTAAACTACACCTGAAAATATTTTTTTTAAATATTTAAAATAGCAAGCGAGAAACGAGGGATTACCCAAGAATGAAATGATACATGATTGTTTTCGTTACCCATTATAATGTTTTTGAATGTTTTCTTTCCTTGCTGTAAATGCACATTTTTATATTATTTAGACACACGAGTTCTTTTTGAAAAAGCATGCGGCCCCTAGTGGCACAGCGGTATGTGTGTACACTTACAACGCTAGAAACCGAGTTTCGATATCCGTGGTGGGCAGAGCACAGATAACCCATTGTGTAGTTTTGTGCTTAATTACAAATAAACAAAAATATGCTGTAGTAATTTGGAAATATAATTATAAACCTTTTTTTAATTGTTTAAGGTATTCCGAGTATTTTTCTTTTGCATTTTAATACAAAAAATGTAATTATAATACTTTGTCTTCAACATATCACCAATATAAAATCATTTCAATTAAAAAACAAAAGGTAATTCTTCTTTACAATATGTTTAAATTTGGGTAAGGACGAATACATATAAATGCTGAAATAAACTGCAATTATATGTTATCCAATAAAATAAAATAAGTCAAGCGAATAATTCTATGAGATTTGAAAAATTCTTATGCTTTTACAAATGACTTTTTACTTGTAAGTAAACTTTTCACATATTTGTTTTAGTAATTAAAGTAAAATAAACACACAAAAAACAACAACCCTATTTTGAAATGTTTAAATAGACACTCTGAATAAATAATTTATTCATAATTTTTGTCCAATACGAATTAATTTATTTCTGCTTTTCTTTATTCAGGTTTTGATGACAACGAGTTGAATGATATAGAACTTATTTCTTACCCAACTCTGCACAATCACTGCAAAGCTCTAAAGTGGATATGAGTTCTGCCACTAGAGGACGAAAACTATGAGGTATAACGGCAAATGTCATACCCCGCATAATTTTGAAAAAAATGATGTTAAACACCAATACGGTGTATGGAATAAAGGCCTCCGGTACAGGAACAGACATCGTTTGTCTGGTCTGAAAATAAAAAGGTGAGTTCAAAAACACAGAATATAAGTTCATATTTTTTATAGCAATTGCGAGTATTATAACAGAATAACGCAGATACATATTTCATAATTTCCTCTACTGATTACCATAACATTTTTAGTGTTAAAATATGTTATTCAATGGATAAATCGCTCATAATCTTTAATAAACTGTCTGTTACTTATCACACAAGGGAGGAATCCTGAAATATACTCACATATGCATATTTTCACAATCGGGTATTGGACGGTCAGAGTTTCAGTTTTCTTTTCTTTTTGTGAACAAGGACAATTCATGTCCGTTCCACATCAATTCGAGTTCTGGCAAATCGTGTATATTTAATTGTTAGAGCTTTCTTTTATTTTGTGAGCAGAAGAGATAGATAGGCAATGTGTTGTGACACAAAACATGACCTAACCTGAAAAACACTATTCAGTATGTATAATATTTCTTCGGTGACAGTATCTTTCAAATCATGTTACTGGTTCAAATTCCACAAATATATTTATGTTTATTTTATGACTGGTGTTTCATTTGAAGCAAAGTTTTATCGGAAGTGAAGAAAAGAAGGCATGTAAAGTACATTTTTTGTTAGCCCCATTACACAAATGAAACAGTAGCCTTAACCTGCTCACGTGTGTGTCACACCTGTATAACTATGACGTTATTGCAACATATTAACTAGAACCCTGTAGAATCGGAAACATAAAACATGTATTAAATAGCCGGCATAAATAGTGTCCTGCATTAACATACGGTCCCATAAATAGTGACATATATCGGCATATATTATCATGAACATTAATATATATGTGCAATAACAGCGCCCTACACTAATATATAGTGCCATAAACAATATCCGCAAAATATACCCGTTTATTGCTATACTATTACAAAAGGTCTACTTTTTATTGACACTATGTTTGACAAAATATTTCAAAAAATTTCACTGCCTACGTAAAACACACACTTCAGTATTATCCAATGTTATTAAATCCTGCTTGATAATTGTAAAATATGTTTATGTCATTCGTCTATTACCCGTACTTTGGTTTTTATGAATTTCCCGTTAATCATATATTTACTGTTATGAGTTAGGTGTAAGGAACATCAGTTGGAGTTGAGAGAGGTGAGAAAGTGGCCGGCTTTTGGTCAGTCTCTAAGATATAAAGGATTACAAGAGACTAAGTCATTAAAAAATGATTGGAGTGAGCGCCTATCTTTCTTGTTCAACCGGTGTGGAGATTACGGATCTCTGTAATTATGAACATTTATAATCTGATATAGGGAAAATAGGTGTGCATGGTTTAAAAGAAAGGGACCTGTTCAGTGTGGGTTTAAAAAAGGAATATAAAATGCACGAGTCCAACGAAAAAAAGAAGAAAAAGAAGACTAAAAGATATGATAGAGAACGAATAAACTGAGAGAGGTGAAGGAAGAAAGTAATATGTTGCCAGTGAGAAAAAAATATATTTATAAACATATATGTTATTGATTATAGTAATAAGCAGAAATGTGTTAGATGTACATTGGTATGAGTCAATTTCTGATAGAAATAAGTACAATTTAAATAAAGTTGATGGACATAAGAAGGAAAAGCGAAGAGCGAGGACAGCACAACCATCACAAAATTGGAGTTAAAGCGATCATAACATTTACATACGTTGATTTACACTACTCTTTCTTTACCCATACCATTTTATTTTGGTTTTATGACTCATCTATTATACAAGTCTTCTTATTTCATGACTTATTCGCAACTCACACCTGTTAACTAACTAATCTATTGACCATATTTTAGCAATGAGCTGACATGGATCTTCTGTTTCCTATAACTAATTATTTATACTTCTCAATGTTATTTAATTTACTCATATTACTTTTCATTCACTCATTGATATTTCATTTACTAATAAGACTTCTTGAGTACTTTATAAAACATGATTACTCGATGCTTATAAGTTATCACTTGCTTGTTTGTTTTTAGAGCAAAACCATATTGGGTTATCTGCTGTGTTTACCACGTTGTAACTCTGTAGATTTTATCATTGTCCCATCGGGGGGGGGGGGGGGAACTGACTACTTGCCTACCATTGTTTATTCAAATCTTTTGATACCAACTTAAGCCTAATTATCTTACACCTTATTAAGTAGCATGCCTAGTAATTTCGTTTAATAAACTCCTCCATTACCTGAATTATTTGTATAATTTTTCAGCTCTCATTGTTATCTAATTTGTTTATATGCTCTTTTTCATTTCCTACAGTCAACTAGCTTGTTTATTTGACTCTACAGTTTCCAAGCTGATCCAGGTTATTTCTATATTTTTCTTTTACTCTAAGTTATTTCAATGTATTTACGTAACTTTTTCATTCCGAAATTTGGTCATATGTCTTTTCAGCTCTCATATCTATTTAGAATGTTTGTATTATTTTTCAATAATTTCGAATACCTGTAATTATCTAGTATATTTATACTACTCCCAGTTCATGTAATTATCTAGGTTGTTTATACAATTTTCAGTTTCTGTAACTATCTACTGTGTTTTATTACTTTTCAGTTCCTGTAATTATCTAGGTTGTTTATACAATTTTCAGTTTCTGTAACTATCTACTGTGTTTTTATTACTTTTCAGTTCCTGTAATTATCTAGGTTGTTTATACAATTTTCAGTTCCTTTTAACTATCTAGTATGTTTGTATTACTTTTCAGTTCCTGTAATTATCTAGTATATTTATACTACTCCCAGTTCATGTAATTATCTAGGTTGTTTATGCAATTTTAAGTTTCTGTAACTACCTACTATGTTTTATTACTTTTCAGTTCCTCTAACTGACTTTTATTACCACTAGCTATTCCTTTGTTTATATAACTTTTCCTTACCCAGTACTATCTAGTTTACTTGCTTTTCCGCTCCTACAATTATATAGTTTGTCTAAATGATTTTCAGCTGTAATAGCTATCTAATCTATTTATTTAAGTCATCTTGAGTCGAGTCCTTTGTGTAGCTTTACGCGAAAATTCTGAAACAAACAAATATTAGTTTTCCTTTCCCACAGCTATCTAGTTTATGTAAATGATTTTTCATTTACTACAGTTATGCAATTTATTTATATGACTTTTCAGTTTCAATAGTTACCTAGTTTTTAAACGACCTTTGAGACACATTTAGTTTTTGCTTAGTTAAGTTATAGAAGATGAATTCCCAAGAAAATGAAGGCATTCTAGATCAAACCACAATGTTCTTATGGACATATCCTAGTTGAATTCTAGATCAAATCACAATGTTCTTATGGACATATCCCAGTTGGATTCTAGATCAAATCACAATGTTCTTATGGACATATCCCAGGTGGATTCTAAATCAAATCATAATATTCTTATGAACATATCCCAGATGGATTCTAGATCAAATCACAATGTTCTTATGGACATATCTCTGTTGGATTCTAGATCAAATCACAATGTTCTTATGGACATATCCCAGTTTGATTCTATATCAAATCACAATGTTCTTACGGATATATCCCAGTTGGATTCTAGATCAAATCACAATGTTCTTATGGACATATCCAAGTTGGATTTTAGATCAAATCACAATGTTCTTATGGACATATCCCAGTTGGATTCTAGATCAAATCACAATGTTCTTATGGACATATCCCAGTTGGATTCTAGATCAAATCACAATGTTCTTACGGACATATCCCAGTTGTAAATACGCGTTTTAAAAAGTGATGCGAAATTTGTTTTTCGTATTTTCCACCTATATTATACAGCTGTTACGCTAACAACTCTATTGTGAACAATAAAATATCTTCTGGTGGGTCAGCGGTAAGTTTATGGACTTACAACGCTAAAATTTATGATTCGATTCCTAACGTTGGAGATTGTGCAGACAGATCACAGTGTAGTTTTGCACTAACTAAACAACAACAATAAAAGACATGAGATTGTTATTCATTAGGTATTATTTCCTCGTTCAGTATTATTATTATTTTCCCATTATAATTATTGAATATATATATATATATATACACATATGTGTGTGTGTGTATTTCAAGAAGATAAGCTATTTTATAATAGTTAACGCCTTAATTATCTTTGTTAATATGTTAGTACATGTAGGTACTGGTCTTCAAAATGACGTGCCTTGAAACTACCTCCCAAATAAGTGACAATTAAAAAGTGGATAGTAAAAATATCATTGGTACTGTAGATTGCAAGAACTAGAAGAGGTATAACCTTTAAATCAAACTCTATTTATGTTTCACACTCAAGTATATGTTGAAATGTTTTAGAACAAAGAGAAAATAACTTGTATCTAATAAACTGAAAAACACTAACATCATTTGTTTGTTTATCGGTTGCAAAGCTACACAATAGACTGTCTACAGTCTACCCATTATGGGAAATCGAACCCTGGTTTTAGTGCTGAAAGTCCATAAACCTATCGCTGACCCACCGGAGGATTCCTTTTGGAGAACATTCTGAGCAATGAAAATGAGTTACATCGGGAGTTTTTGACTCCCAATCAAAGTAGTATATGTGATTAATATTATATGCAGCGGTTGCAGAGTAATAATTGAGTTCCTTGTGGACAAAATATTTCATTAAGTTAAGCAATGTAACTTAAATATCTTTCACCTGTTCACCCGCTCATGAAAAATCCTAAGGATTGGAATGAGCATTTAATTCTGAGGTTTTTATTTAATTCAAGTCAGATTCTTCACCCGTTTGAATTGAATATATAATAGCTAGTTTTTTCAAATGTTCGTTTGATTCAATAATCATTTACTTCTTTAAAAATTAAGTCTTTCTTCACTTACCTAGCTGTATGGGTGCTTATTATTAAGTGCATTGACGTGGCGATCCACGAATCGCGGTAAACTGAGTTTTTACGTCGTTATATACAACTTTTTCGACAGACCAAATAAAGTTTTAATACATAACGCCTGTTTATTCTTGTTTTAGAAGTTCTTTTTTACC